ATGTTGCTAAGTGCTGTTTGCAGCCCACTAAATCCATTTTAAGCCCTGCCATTGGTTGCAATCTAAAATTTGAAAATCACTGCTTGAAGAATGACCTGGAGTCTCCCCTCCTCTGTGATGAACCCTATTCGGGGTGGAATTCAGATGGTCAGAAATCTAAAACCCTGAAATGATTAGAGATGAATGGCCTGTTTACAGAATGGAGATGGAGTCAGGGGCGCTGTAGTGGGTGATGTCTGTGTGTGGGGAGGGGGCTACTGGGGAGACAAAAGTCTGGGGAGACAGAGGCCTGAAGAGACAGGGTGGGCTCAGATGGCAAAGGACTGCCGCGTAGAGAAATTTGGATTTTTCCTGTGGGAATCACTAGATGATTTCAAGCAGAGGAAGATCATACAGTACTCAGTTCTGTGCTTCAGAAAGATCACTGGAACACTGTGAAGGGAATGGATGGATAACGCTAAGTGAAAGACAGTCGCCATGCTGATTGGGGCATCCAGAAGAGAAAGGCCAGAGGAGACCACCACTGAAGAAATGACAGGGAGAGTGGACATCACGGAGGAGACAGATGTGAGGAGTGGTGAGGATGAAAGTAGGTAGGGCTCGGAGGGGGAGGTTTTTAGCTTGAATGGTGAGGTCAATATGGTGCTGCTTACTGAGGCGGATGTAGAGGAGGTTTGTTGGGGAGAAAAATCTATTGTGAAAAATTGCTGGCTAGAAATATAACTCATTCTTTTAATAAACATTTTTGAGACTGACGTAGAGTGACTAACATTATATTTTGCTAAGTGGGTATATTAAAGACGTAAACCATCATTCACCATCACCATCATTTTGAATAAAGGAGAGCATGGTACCACCAAATAATAGGAAGGGCATAGTCTCAGATTGCGGGACATTTTTTTTTTGTTTTATATAGTTGAATGAATTTATATTGCTGAAAAACTCGTCTAGCAAAATTGTTCTCATTTTACTACGATCCATTGAAAACATCAGTCTGTGTCAGCCTGATCTGTGGACTGGCATCAAGAAATGGGCAGAGAAAGAGAGGTCAGCAAAAGAAACTGAGGTTCAATTCCCAACACACACACACACACACACACACTCTCTCTCTCTCTGTCTCTCTCTCTCTGTCTCTCTCTCTCAAGTTTCCAGTAATAGGAAGAAAACCAGGAGAGAGTGATTATAGAAGGAAAGTTTTCAGAAGTGAGCTCTTGGCCAACAGTGTCTTTTCCCACCCAGAGTTCAAAGAGGTCATCTAATTTGGCAATTAGAATGTCATTGGTGACCTTTGGCAGTGCCCTTTTGCTGGGATGATGGGACTGGGGCCAAATTGCACTTGGTTGAAGTGTGAATGGAAAGCTGGGGAAGGTGTACACTCTTTTCAGAAACTTGAGGTGAAGGGAAGAAAAGAGAGAGGGAACAAGGCAGTGAGAGAGTGAAAAAAGAGATGATGAGAAGGAAGAGAAGGAGAGCAATTTATGAGAGCAGGAGAATACATGTATGGAGGGCTGTGCTCCATTTTAGGTAAACAGAGATGGGCATTTTGTTCTCAGAAGGAAACAAGCTGGTAGAGGGAAGATGAACTTTCCTGAAGAGATGAAACATAACATCTGGACGGAGGGCCTCAGAAGGAGGGTGGATGAGGCCAAGGCTCAGGCGAAGGGATTAGCGTTTAACGAAAGGGGCACCTTGTCCCCTGAGAAGGGAGGGCTGGAGGGGAAGAAAGTTGGAAAGGCAGGCCAGTATTCGGGGGTGGAGTAGGGCACTGAGGTAATTCACGCTTGAAGGCCTCTGTTTTCTCAGGGAAATAGAGGAGAGGCTTTTCTGAGAAGGTAGAGGGGTGGGGCAGGCACATGGTAGGGAGCTGAAGGAAGTTTACAGTGTGGTCCAGGGAAATATAGAAGCTGGAGCTAGGGCTTTGACAAGGGAGCATGCTCCAGGTTGACTGAGGGGCCCTGGCTTGGCAGAGGCTCATTGAGTTTGTCTTCTCCCAGCAGTTTTTGTCTCCCTCGGCAGTGAACACCTACAAGCAGGGCCCGTAGCTCCTTCCACTTCCCAGCCTATTGCTTGCTTGCTAAGCAATGTCCAGTGAAGCGTCTGGCCGGAAGAGGAACCCAGAACTCTCTGAAAGGTCCAGCAAAGCAATCATTGACAAAGCTTACAAGCACTGTACGGTTGCTAGGGAGGGATGCAAGGAAAAATTTAAATGTCCCACAGGAAATTCTCCATTTTGGGTGATCCAGACGTCCTCCCCACCTCACTCCTGCTCTGTGTAAAATGTAAAACAGAACAGTCAGGCTCCTAGTTTGTACCCAGCAACAGGCCTTTAATCCCACAGGCCAGGGAGAGGCAGATGAGAGGGGCAATCCCTTAACCTTCCGCACAGGGCATGAGGCTCAGGCACTTCTTAGGTGGCAGCAGTTAGGAAGGGAGAGCGAAGAGCCAGGGAAACGGACCAAAGCTCCATGGCTCTGGGAGAGGACACTGGAAGCTGGGTGTAAGGCAGTCTCTGACCCCTGAGTTCCGCTACTCTGGAGGATTAAGGGAGGGGCTGAAAGAAGGTCAAGCTGGGAGGTGGTATGGAGAAATCTAGCGGAGCGTGAGCCCAAAGCTTAAGAGAAATGTCTGGGTCTTCCACCTTTCTTTCCCTCCTGCCTATCGCCAGAGGCCACCTGGAGGTCAAAAAGATTCCAGGGCACGATACTATGTCTTGGCTTCTTTCTGCTTCGCATACTGGCTTTGCACTCGGTGTGTTCAACTTCACTCCTTCTCCCCGACTCACTCCTCATTTCAGACAGGGACCAGAGTACGAGCAAATTCCCAGCTCCTGCCGCTCAATCCAGCAGAACTGCTCAGAGACAGCTAGAAGCTCAGGCTCCCGCCGGAATGTCTTCAGGATCCAGATTCCAGTCTGCACATAGAAATTTCAGGAACAGAGGATCCCCACAGCCCACAGCCCACAGCACCCTACTAGGCTCGCTTCACCTCGTACAACAAAGCTCTGTTTACTTAGGGCTGAGACAGTGCCAACCCTCCTTGGGTTAGATGGTGGCCAAACCGTACAATGTTTTCCTTCGACTGAGCCAAAGTGTGTCTCCCTGGAGCTTCTACTCTTGGGCCTCAGCCTTGTCCTTTGAAGTCACACAGAACAAGTATATTCCATTGCGTTCGAAGCCTCAGATATTTGAAAACAGTTATCATTTCCCCAAGTTTTCTCTCCACCCTGGATAAGCATTTCTTTGTCTTTTTAATTTGATTTGTCTTTACTTCTTATTACCCAAGTAACATCAGTTCAGTTGTGGACATTTTTGCAAATTCAGAAAAGCATACAGAAAAAGTGAAAAGTCCACCCTACTCTTCCTCTCAGAATCAACAACTTTAACATTCTCCTAGGGGCTGGGGATTTAGCTCAGCGGCAAAAAGCGCCTGCCTGGAAAGCGCAAGGTCGTGAGTTTGGTTCCTGGTACCAGAGAAAAACTAAAACAAACAAACAAACAAAAAAACAAACATTCTTCTAGCCAGTGTTTTCCTTGCATACTGCATGGTATACACTGTTTTCTTCCCAAAATGGGATCATCCTCTAAGTGATACTTGAGAAGCTTATATTTTTCCCTCTTATTAACTTTTCCCTTATTCTTCTGTATGACTAATTTTAATCTGAAATACTTTAACTGCTCAAGGATTTATTTAACCAGCTTTTTCAAGTGAGGCATTTAGGTTGTTTTCAATTTTTCTTTGCTGTGAAGAACACAGTGGGACTGGGATTTGAAGTAAGGTCGGGAACAAGTAAACAGGGAAAATGAGTCCTTGAATAAAATTGTCACCCTTTTAGCATCTAAGGTTTTTCATTTCTGTGTTGATAATTATATTTCCTAGAACACGAGTATGAGTCTCTGCTTAGTATTTGGTTGCAAGGACTTACCTTAGTCAGTGTAAGCGGTTTCTATTATTGGATGATGAGGTCATTTCTGGTTCGTGATGCTCATAAACCATGCTGAGATGAATAGCCAAGCAGCTAAATCTGTGCTGATGCTGGACACTGAGGGCAGGAGGAATATTTTGGATACCTCTAAAGCATAAGGTGTCTGCCAATAGTGGTAACTGGAAGCTTTTCGGCAAAGCCCCAGAAGGCTGGCTAAGGCCAAGGACTGTGCCCAAGCCTCTGGGTTTGTCCGGGGTCGGCATCGGTATCTATCTTTGGTTACAGAGGGTTCAGGCTGGTAAGGGCCTTGGGGACCACTGGGCCAAGTCCTTCGTCTCACACGTGAGAGAGCGGAGGCCTGGACTGCTCCTTGGGCACCCTAGCACCGAGTAGAACTCTGTCTCCCCCTAGCTCCCTGACTCCTGAACTGGAAATTGCTTGCTGAGGTGTGGATTCTGCCTCAAAGGCCCTGCGAATTCCTGCCTGCTCTCCTTCACCCCACTGAGGCTGGAGATTCTGGCCCTTTTGCAAATTAATCGAAGAGTAATGGTGTGGAGGAGTACTGAAAGGAGACTTGAAGTTCACCCCACAGGCAACTGGGCCTGCTCCACCCAGGACCCCCTTTTTGCCTAGCCTAGATGCTCCGAGGCAATGACCTTACATCCAGTTCCCTGGCAAATCTATTTTACATATGAACTGAAATAGCAGGTGAGTTTCTCACTGCCCCTAAAAGGGTCAGTTGCCCTTTCACACTGGGAACCGGTTTGCTGAAGGCCTCTCTATCCAGCCCTCCTGTCCCCAGCAACTCTTAGTGGTGTGAGGTGTTAATGAACTCCCCTCCTTCCCCCTTGGGCCTTGCTACTGCCTGGGGAATTCACACAGATGGTGTGCAATTTGCCTTTTCTGTGTTTTCCTTTCTGACATGGAGTTAAAGCCAACTGCTTACCTCCCACTGACACCCTGTTTATTCAACCGGGAGAGATTTCACACCCAGGCACCCAGCTTTTCCTCGCTGAGTCCCTTCCCTAAATGTTCAACTCCCTCCCAAGTCCCCCACCTCTGCACTCCCGGAATAATATATGAGTTCAGGCAGGGCTTATAAAAGGGTCTCTGGGGGAAAGACCGAAAGAATCTTGAAGGTTCTGAGAGGTAGGAGAGTCCATAGCTTTCCTGGCCTTCATGACCTAAGGATGGACCTGGTCATTCCTACTGTTGCTGCCCCTGGCCCCGCCCTGGCTCCAGCCCTAGCTCTCACCCAACCACCAGGCCCTCAAGTACTTCCTGGCCTGTTACACCCACCACCTCTTGTCTCTTCTGGACAAGAATTACCAGGGATTAGAAGGTAAGTGAAATTTGACAGCTTGAACTAAGGCTTAGGGGGTTCCCACAAGGGGAGGCGATGAGATCCCCAAGGTTCCCTGCTCTCTCTGAGGGGGAGTAGCTCTTCCTCCTCCTCTCTGGCTGGAATATTTCATCTGGCTTTTCCCTCCCTAGTTCCTCTGCGTGACGGAGAGGACTAGGGGACGGGCGGCATTGTCAGAGCTAAAAGCCAAGTAACCAGGCCCTCAGGGGCCAAGTCATGGAGTCCGCTGGCACAGGGGAGACTGCCATGAAAACTGGGCATAACGTGACTCAAACCGTGGGGCCTAGACTGTGGCAGGGAGATCTGGGAAAAAAGGACCAAAGGCTAACGAAAATTTTGACTGTAGCATTGTCTTTTTCCTGACCATACCCTAAAATTACCATTTGCTTTTTTCCTACCTCTGGAAGTCCAGTGGGGAAGCAGTGAGCCCCAATATGTTCGGCTCCTTTTCGCAGCCCAAGAAGATTGTAGTGTTCTGAGTTCTGCTTCTTGGAGCAGGCGACAGGAAGCAAGATATTTTCTATTCAGTCCTCATTGATTCTTCCAAGTGTTTCACATTCAACAAACATTTACCGAAGAACCTGCTGTGTACCAGGCATTGTACTAGGTATTGAAGACGCAGACACAATCAGATATAGCTTTGATTTTAAGAAGCTCAAACAGATAATCATAAAACAATGGGATAGGAACAGTGATAACACTGGCGAAGCAGCGAAGAGGGACATCTCTCCTGGCCTGAGCTCAGGGGACTTAGGAATGGCATCCTGGAGCAGGCGGCACACGAGCCAAGCTCTGGGAGGCCTCTTTACTGTCTCAGGGAGCCATGGTGCAGTGTCTTCTTCTACTGACTGAGCTCTCCTCTTTGTCCTAGAGGAGCTAGTCTTTGGAGGCCCTGGACGTCCTCCGTAGATGACCCCCCAAAGCAAGTGAGAAAGCTGGTGGATTGGGTGAGTTGGAGCCCCTTTGACACACTTTCACAGGCACACACAGCCGCATACATTCACACTGGTGGGGTCTCTTTCCAGACAGCCCCGACCTCAGTCCAAGGCTGTGGATCTGGGAAAGCATTCTACCAGCTCTGCTAGAATTTGATGGCTGTGGCAGCGCCGGGATGAGGGCAGACTCAAGGTTCCTGTGAGAAATGGAAATGGGGAACTGGGGCTCAGAGTGGGGAGGGATTTGGGCAGGCCCCACAGCCAGCGGGTGGCAGAGCTGGTGCTCGAATCTGCTTCCTGGCGCCTTACGCCAGTGTTCTCCTGCCCCACCGCCTTGACTCTTCACTGCACCAGTAGAGCTCCGTCCCCGGGACAGCCTCCAAGCAGATGCTGGAACAAGGGACGGGAGCGCGAACAGCCCCCAGGACTCTGACCACTTTTCTTTTCAGCTGGGACCAAGACAGACTGCCTTGCTCTGGGGCGGGGAGTGGCGAGGTGGTTGGACCCCAGAGATGTCTCAGGTCTCTTCCAGAACGTCTTGCCTGCAGGTTTCTGACCCCTGATTTAGAGGAGGCAGTTATCTGGCCATGAACGTTCAGCCCCGTGCTGGCTTTTGCTTTGGACAGGTTGCTGGAAGGGCCACGAAGGCTGCCTCTGAGTTCCATCACCCTGTCAGGTAAGCTTCTTGCGCCAGGCTCCGAACTTGACACAGACCCATGTGCTCTTTTAAAAAAGCTTTGGTGCTGGGGATGGAACACAAGGCCTTCATTCACACTGAGCTATATCCCCTGCCCTCCTTAGCTTTTTAGACAGAGGAAGGAGGCACTGCTGTGATCACTGTTTCATAGATCAGGAACTTACTTGGCCTAGGTTGTTTTCCCTGGAGTCATTGTCCATGACTCCTAAGGAGGAGCCTTCGTGAACATCAGTGAAGCCATCCTTAGTAGAAAGACATGGAGAGCACAGGGCTGGAAAACTCTTGACTGGAAGCTTCCTGGGGTAGGGATGGGGTCAGCACTCATAGATGCTGGGGTAGAGCTCTCCACGGCTGTGGCCCACCAGAGGTGACCTTCCTGCTTAGAGTTATATTGTAGCAATTCAAAAGGCTCTGCTACAAATCTCCCCTTCCTTCCCTCTGACCCCATTATTGTAGCTAAGAGAATGTGCTGGCTTCCCTCTGGGCAGTACTGGCCCTCTGCATATACGACAGCTAAGTTATGGGCCACATGTATGCTCTGTCTGCAGGCTCTTCTGGCCTAGATCCTGCTCCTTTGACTACCTGTACAGTGCTGGGGAGATTTTACTGCAGAGCTTCCCTGTGCAGGCCACCATCAACCTGTATGAGGACTCCGACAGTGAAGAGGAAGAAGAGGAGGGGGAGGATGATGAGGAGAAAGAGGAGGCCAATGAAAAGGGGTCAGAAGGGCATGTGAAAGAGCCAGGGTCCATGCCACACAGGATCATAGCTCATCTCCCTTCCCCCATCCCTGTCCTGTCCAAACTGAAGTAGCCACTGTCTGGACAGTTTCCAAGGGCATTGATTTTCCAAGAGTTTCCAGGTGCAGCTTTCTGGACTGAAAATTCAGTCTTCAAGCTGCCCAGCTCACGTGGCCTACCCAACTGACCTGTGCGCCCAGGCCTCTAGCATCTGATTGTCTGGGCTGCTCTTGTGTCAACAGTGGAAGGGTCCTAGGAGCTCTAAGGGGAAGGAAGACCAGCTTTGTGAAGTCCCAAGAAAGCAGAGCAGGACGGGGTGTGACCATGTAGAGGGCAGCAGTCCACCTCAGGGCCCTCTGAGATCACCTCCCTCCCTCCTCCCTCTCCCCCCCCTCCCCAGCCTCCCGAAGTGGACACATAGTTCAGTCTGCACCCGGAAAGCCCTACTTCCAGCTTCACCTCCAGGAGCAGCTACGTCAGTTCACGGCAAAGTTGGGCTGCCTTTCTCATGGGTCTTGAGGGAAAGGAGGGGGCACCTAGAGAATCCGCTTGCTCTGCCCCACCCCTTTCATTTTGCTTGTTATCTGCTAAAGTCTATGTGTTGGCATAAGATGAATCAAGAGAAAAATAAACTGGATGACGTTTGCCTTTTTCTTGGAATTGTGCTGATTTCTTAACCGAACTTTGCCCACGATGTGAAGAGGGAGAGACCAGTTCAAGGCCAATTTATTGTTCTACCTGAGGTCAATCTACAGGCTTTTCTCTGTCTGGGATGAAGAGTTAAGGACCTAGCGCGGGGCCAGGCTGTCTCTGTCAACTTAATCAGGCTTCATTAAGCTTCAAGGACAGCTTTGAAAGGGAAAAAGGACCCCAGGGGCCCCTTGAAAGCTGGGAGTGGGATTTGGAGCTTGAGGGGAATGTGAGAAGTAAAGTCTTGTTTGAGGCTTGGAGTTGGCTGTGTATGGATAAGGAAGGGTTGGGGGGAGGGGGCACTGCTAAATCCTGTTAATTCTATCTCCTCAGTGCCCTTTGTATCCACCACAGCTCAGGCCTTCACATTTATCGCTGTCCCAATTACTCTTCAACTAGTTTTCTTGACTGCAGCATGTCTTTTCACAAGTTGCCTTTTACACTGGCTACCAGATCAGACCAGGTCACGCCCTTGCCTCGCCATCAGCTAGCTTTATGGTTTATTTGTTTTGGTTTTTCTGTTTGTTTATTTTTGAGAATCTATAGCTTCTCTACCCAGAAAAATCCATGTGTGGGTACGCGCACGCACACACACACGCACAGTGCTATGTATTCAGAAGTCAAATCGTTACTGTAATATTGTAGGCCTTCCATTCATCTGGTTTTTGCCTTTCTCTTTAGAATCATTCTTTAGCTTTTGAAATTGATATCACTTGTCCTTGAATACGGTGTGCTTTCTACTACTCTTGTGGCTTTAAACCTCTGTCTGGAATGACTTTCCATGTTGGCATGCCTCATAAATTTCCATTCACCCAACAAGACTAGTTCATACCCTGTGGGAAGCCTCTCAATGCTCCCAGGTACAGGCGGGTACCCTCACACATCCAGTGCCCCCTCTACCATGGCATCTGCCTCCTTTCCTGTGCAGGAAAATGGAGTTGTGTTTGATATTCCTATACGACTTCAAAGCACAGTACATTCTTTGCCAGGCACGAAGCACGTGCTCAGGAAATGTTGAAAGAAAAGCATTCTTGGTTCTCAAAACAGTTCTTGACAAAATCCCTACTGTCCCTTCACTTGCCCACCTCCCTGTGTCTTTGCTTACCTACAAAGGGGACAGGGTCATGTCAACTTACTGAAGAGCAAACAATGGCTTTTTCTTTACTTCTCACAACTTGAGACAAACTGAGTCCTGAGCCCTAGCTGGGATTTCCCACTGGAGACACAGCCTAGAACAAGCCATCAAGCTCACCCACTGGTGCCATCTGTTGGTCAAAATTTAACCTTGTTCTTTAATTAAGAGTGCTAAGCAGTTGATCTTTGACCACTTTGATTCCTTTAGTCCATTCTGTTTCTGCTTGTAAGTGAAGTACTACCATGTGCTAGATGTATGACCTTGGGAGAGTTACTTATCCACTGAGCCCATCTCCTCAGCCCTGGCACACAGTGAAATTGCTCAATAAATGATAGTAGTCACAATAATAGTAATTGCGGTGGCTATTATAGATTTTATAGAAGAAATAAGCTTATAGGCTGGAGTCAGTAATTATTCACCTAATGGCTAATCTGTCAGCCATCTCTACATGCTCTCCTTGGATGGTTTAGCAGTCAAAGTGTCTTTACAATATCTGTCTCCATGAAAAACAAAAGAAATTGAAAATACCAATAACAGAGGCCTAGTATGTCTTCCTGTGCCACTCGATATGGAAACAGTAGCCCCAAATGGCAGAACTAGAATATCTCCCCCAGCCTCCTCTCCCTTGTAAAACAACTCTCTCTGTACGCTTGTGTGTGATACCTTCAGAAATTCCCAGACTTGGAGAAAGACAATCTGGAAACCACTGTCCCAAGGGTTAAACCAAGCATGATTTGATAGAGGATTAATTAGTATTTTAACATGTCCAGTGTTCCGTTGAAAATCCTTATTTTGGGTCCTAAGCTCCCAGCATTTCACAGCTCAAGAATTGCTTCAGTCCTTTTATACCACAGATTATAAGGATTTAAAATCCTTGGAATCCCAATATCCTTGGTTTTAAAGTATTATATAGCATAGAATTACAAATCTTTAAATCCTCAGGGGTTTAAAGACCCTAAAACCCTTGGAGCAGTAATTTTTAACTCAGAATGAGCTCTTCTCACTCCCCCATGACTCCCCCTTACTGCACACATGGTGTAGTTTGCTGGGCAGACATTTTGTCCCATTCTTCTCCCAGTCCCCTCTCTTAAAATGGCTTCCAGTCCCCCATCCCCACCCCAGGGGCTAAGTGATTGGGATCTACTGTTCTGACTAATCAGAGCCCAGTATGTGGTATTTTATTCTGCGTATATCTAGTCCCTATAGCAATTTCAACTCTAGAGTACAAGCTGAGGAGAATATCTCTAAGCAAAGCCCAGAGTTCTCCTTCCAGCTCTACCAGGCCATCCCATCCTTGTCCCCCAACACTTCCCACCCCAGCTCTCAATGTGTCCTGTTTGTCCTACCTGCTAGCAATAAAGAGAGGGTACATCTGTTGAGAGCTAAGCTGCATTGGAGCTGGGCCTTGGAGGATGGCCATAGGTACAGATGGAGGAAGGAAACTTCCAGAAAGTGGCAGCCATATGAACTCTTTCATTGAATATACACTTACTGAGCACCTGCTATATGCCAGAAATAACTACTACATTGATTAATAGTATGAGCTTTGGAAGCAGATGAACCTGGGTTTAAAATCCCTATCTGCCACATGCTAACTATTCATTGGCCTCCTCGCCTCCAGTGTTAAGGTCAGCCCTCTGCTTTACTCACTATAATTTTTTAGTATATCATGCCTCTACCCCACCATGCACATGTTTATTAAAATAGTTGTGTATCCTCTACATCCGGACATGGAAAGCACCCTGCCCTGCACCGGTGGGTGTCCCCAACCCCCACTTTTAAGCTCTTCCCCACAACTGTACCTGTGTACTCATCTAGTGGGAAGACCTGTTGTCTCATTTTCTCGCCGGTCTCCTGTTGTAAAACAGCTGCCAATCCTTTTTCCAAACAAGTTGTTATGCGGCCTGAGTTCATTTTTTGACCTGTATGGGGCCTGGTGTTGGCCTGGTGATTTCGGTTAACTCCCAACTGGTAAAATTTACAGAAACCCCATGCACATGCACACACCCAGGTATAAAAAACTAGCAAAGGCCCTGGGTTTTATCCCTAGCACTACAACAACAAGACAAAATTGTAGAGTAAGTGCTCAGTAAGTGGTGGTTATAAAACTCGGCCGGGCACTTACTACACCCGTTATCTATGACACTGTAATCACAACAATCCCAGGAGATAGGCACAGTTATTGCCCTCATTTATGAGTGAAAAAGCTAAGAGTTAGCAGGTTTTTGTGTTGCGAAAAAGGAAAAGAAGAAACAGAGCTATGAGCTCAACAGGACAGGTTTACTTCAGAACAAACCTGAGAGGGACCAATCTGGCACTAGAGACCGGACCAGCAGCTCTTGCACAGGCCGTAGGGTCTTTTGTAGGGTTATGGGGGAGTTCAGCGAGAGGGGCTTGGCTTCCTGCCAAGAACAAGGCTTGGGAGAGCCCAAGTGGGCTTGATTGCCAAGGATGGGGCTTGGGAAAGCGCAGGGAGTAGCAGCTGCTGTCAGTAGCAGGGCTGATCATGTGCTGAGTGGTCAGGTCCAGATGTGCTGGGAGGAGGGGTTTAGAGAACGGTCTCTGGTCAGGACGGCAGTGATCAGATTCCTCCATTTTGTACTTGGGTTTTATTCACTTGCATGGAGGTTGCTATAAGCCTTACTAGGTAAGATTAAATAAAAAACATAGCAATCCACACCAGGCTCCTGAGAGGTCGTAACAGTGAGGTGAGGCCACCATTTTACAACAGGGGCCTGGGGAGGAAAGGAGGCAAATGTCCATAACCACAAAGGCCTAAATGGGGGTGGGTGTATAGGCGGTGGTGACACTAACTGGGTGGGAGGGGGGCTTTTCCTGTCCGGAAAGGAGCAAGCAATAGGGTGACTCAGATAAGAAAATAGCAGGTAATTCTTACTATGTATGGGAGCACAACTAGAAACTTTACGTGGATCAACTAATACAACAACCCTGAAGTATAGATAGATAGAGTTAAGGAAAGGAAATTGAGGCTTGGAGTGTTTTTTGTTTCTTTGGTTTTTTTTTTTTTTTTGAGACAGTGTCTCACTATGTAGTTCAGACTGGCATTGAACTCATTGTGTAGCCCAGGCTGGCCTCAAACTTCTGGAGATCAAACTTGTGCCTCAGTCTCCCAAGTGCTGGATTACAGGTGTGCACCAGCCTGCTTGGCAGGAGCATTTTTTTTCCTTTTAATTTGCCCCAAGCCACACAGTTGGCAATCTGTGGCACTTTCTAAATGCCAGGGCTTTACATGTATTACCTCATCTAATCCTTCAACAGCCTGTATCTAAGTATTGTCGCTACACTGGTTTGATTGGTTCAGAGAGGGTAAGGGAATCTGCTCAAGATTACACAGTTAAGAAACGACTGGGCGAAGAGTTGAGAGGTGACAGCCCCGGCCCGTGGTAGCAGCAGTGGTAAGTGACAGAGCCAGGATTCAGGCCTGTCTGACTCTAGCGCCTTCAGGAAGTAGAACCAGCAGCGCTTGGTGAGAGTTTAATATGTAGAAGGGCATAGAAGGAAAGCCTTAAATTTTCCCTGGGGAAAGTGAGACAGAGGATATGGGGAAACTTGGGTCAGGCAGCTGAAAAAGCTGGAGGTTAATGAAAGGTGTCACCAAGGGAAGGGATGTTTGGGGATGGCCTCTGGGCAGAGGTGGGCTCTCACAGAACCTGGGCTTTGAGCACCAGGCTCCCCAGGGCAAAGAGGTGATAAAGCCATCGTGCTCCTGCTCCTCTGAACTGCACTGCCTCAGAGGGAACCAGGCTGTGGCTGCCCAGGGTAGATCTGACTGTGAAGTGTGGGCCTGGTAAGAGGAGCTTCTAATTGCTGGGTTCTCGCTTGGTGTGCCAGGCACAGTGCTCGGGGTCCCACCTGCTTTGTCTAGAACAAGTGCCACCTACCCCAGCAAGGTGGTTACAGTTGTCCTCTTGCTCACAGAGCGGAAGCTGGGGCTCAGATAGGTGAAGTCACCTGTCGATCACACAGTGGAGCAGCTGGGGAAAAAGCAGGACAGTGTAACCACAGAGTCCTGGCTCTTACCTACTAAGCTCGTCCTGTCCTTGTCCTTATTCTTGGACAATCCCTGCAGGCAGGCAGTCAGCTTCCACTGGCCTCATAGCCTACAGGAGAAGCGTGTAAGCTGTCACGCAAAAGCACTTCTAGTCCTGTCAGTGGTGATGCCCGAGGCTGCAGATCAAGTGTGAACTGAAAGAGGTTAAGGGAGAACCCAAGAACCAGCTGGAATCTGGCCCTGGGATCTTCAATAAGTTTTCGTTTTTAAGGAGAGAACATCCCATTCAAAGTCCCCAGCAATTGCACTGGTGTCCACTGACAGCGGGAGAGGCAGCACCCTCTAGTGGCTGAGATCTGAATTTACAGCCCTAGGCATGGGATCAGGAGGCCTATCCATCCAGAAGATTCTATGGGCAGAAATTTTTAGCGCCTGGTGGTTACCAGGACAGATTCTGGAATCAAACTAAATCTGAGTTCAAAATACTGGTTCTCCAGTATTTAAGTGTTCATGAGAAGATTAGTCTCTAAGCCTTGGTTTGCACATCTATAAAATAGAAATAGTAATAATAATTCCACAGGGTTATTGTCAGATGAAATCAGATAATACCTGTAAAAGGCTTAGCAGAATACTTGGCACATTATATTTATTATATATATATATATATATATATATATATATATATATATATATGGACACAAGTGCTCTCTCTCTCTCTCTCTCTATTCTCTCTCTCTCTCTCTCTCTCTCTATATATATATATATATATATATATATAATGATTGCTCTGCTTGTGCCACATGCTGTCATATTAGTAGTCACATCTTGACACCCCTGACTTTCCCATTTAGTTCTACTAAGACCCTGGTGGCCCCAAACACACTGTCTTGCCCCAAGGGAGGTACGGTCAACACTTTTTTTTGAGACAGGCTCTTGCTATGCTGTTCAGGCTGGCTGTAAACTCATTATGTAGTTCAAGCTGGCCTCAAACTCACAGCGCTTGCTGCAGCATTCCGAGTGCTGGCATTAGAGGCGTGAGCCACCACTCCCGCCAAAACTGTTCTAAGGCTTGTGGACCAGATATGGGCTTCAGGTAGTATAAAAAAAAAATAAAGACAGGTAAAAAGGAGACAAAGAAACTTACAATTTTAAAATTATACTTTTAAGAAAATCTTCAGCTTCAGGACCCAAAAGTTACTCCAGGTTACAATGTCTTTTCCCTTTCAGGAAACTCCAAAAAAAAAAAAAAATTCCTAAGAGCCTTAAAGATACAATAAGAAAAAAATTAGAAAAGATAGAATAAACCTGTAAACTGAGGCCCATACTTTTCACCTATAAATTGCTATAGCTACCACAGATCTCCATCCTCAAGAAACCAGCTCTATTAAATGGGTAACAGATTTCTAAACTTCAAATACATGCAAAAGGTTTACGTTCTAACCTAGCTACAAAATAGGTAGCCTGACAGACAGTAGGGATACATGTCCCAAGTCATCAGTCTTGAGCACACCCCTTAAACCATATAAAAACCCCAACCCCAGACCATAATGTACCTCTCCCTTGAGGGCTCACACTCTTCTCTCTAAATGTGCTTTCTTTCTTTCTTTCTTTCTTTCTTTCTTTCTTTCTTTCTTTCTTTCTTTCTTCCTTTCTTTCTTTCTTTCTTTCTTTCTAGACAGAGTCTTGCTATGTAGTTCCGCCTGGCCTTGAACTCACTATGTAGCTTAGGCTGGCCTTGAACTCACTACAATCATCCTGCCTCAGCCTCCTGAGTGCTAAGATTACAGGTGTGGAGCACCATGCCCAGCCTGAGTGTATACTTTTAGAATTCTGCCTAGTAAAGTTCTTTTTGCCTTTCAGTGACGTGTCTTGAAAATTCTTTTTCACTTATCCTGTGGGTGGAGCGAGTTGAGGTCTCTATCTCCTCTTCTGGGGACTTTCTCAGACCCTATCCAGTGACAGGCTGAGATATTTGCTCTTCTCCATGTACACTTTTAAGAATATTAGGCTGCATATATTTGTCCTTGAATGTACTGTAAATGTTAACAAGCTTTCTCTACACAGACACTTGGCAGTTTTTGCATTTTAAGAAAATTACCACCCACAATTTCATTTGATTGTCTTAATAGTCAGTGAGGAAATCGGGTAGGATGAGAAGGAAAATGATTTGCTTGAGGTTTTCCAGCAAGTCTGTGCAGGAAGCAAACTCAAACCTACAATACTGATGTTGAGTCTGGTGCTTTCCCAGCAGCCCTTGCAGTCACGCAAGTCACCCAAGACCTTGAGCTCTGGCTAAATGTGAAGCATCTGTAACCCAGGACATGGCTCAGTTTTGAAGGCCACGATCACTGTACTCTGACTAACCCATTTCCTGCTTTAACTGAGGCCGAGGTTAGTTTATATCCCCAGTACACTAACAACTTATGATTCTTTACGTAAAAGAAACTGGCTGTGTGTTATTAGGACTGGTGACCCAAAATAGCCACATCTCTCAAACATGACAAGCATGCAATCAAAGATCAGATGAGAGGTTTGAGGTGGTGAACATTATCTCCTCAGTCCAGCTAAGCTGTGTGAACTACCGAGAAAGTAGCTGCACTCACAGCCAGTTTGATTTAGCCAGTCATCTCACGCAGGACATAACTGTCAGGGTCTCAAAAGGGCAACCCTGTCTCTAGTCAGTGCAAAGACTGGGCAGTGCTGATTGTGTCATCAGCATGGGTCCAGGTGACAGCATCTCTGTGCAGGCACTGAGGGAATCAGTGTGATAACAACTCAAAGCTCTCTGTGTCACTTGATATGACTCTGGGGGCAAAGGATGCAAGCTTGACTGTCAGTACCAGAGCCTGTCCCCTCTCATTCTTATATGCTGGAAATAACAGGAGTGCTGCTGAGATAAATCATCGAGCCCAAAGACCCCCTCCCTAGCCCCCATGTGACACTGAAGCTCTGGCAAGCTTGGTTCTGCTCAGAAAGGACTCTCATTACTTTCGCCCGGAGTGCTGGATCTCCGGGTGGCACAGAATTTCTCTTTCAGCTGTTACATGTTCTTTGCTCCCTCATCACCATGGCAACTGAAGAGCAGGAGCCAGCACTGAAACCAACCCCTCCCTGACAGGCATATGGGAACAGCAAGCACATTTGCTCTCTCATCTTAGGGAAGCAGAATATTTTTAACCTCTCTGTTCTTCAGCTTTGGTCCATGGTGGAGAGTAAATACTATCAAGTGTAATTTTAGGTGAATTGTACTAGTAGGTCCTTTCTTTAGTTTTTCTACATAAGAGTTACTAATCTAACTGGCCTGAGATCAATCACTGGGCCACGTATCACCAGTGAGCAAAACCATTACAGTGAAAAATGATGAACATCTGTGACTATATACTCCATATTGCTTGCCGCTAGACTATTAGGTCAGGATAAATTTCTTTTGAAGACTTTAGCCTCTCAGAGTCGGGGGGCCGGGGTAGTCCTAAACTACATTTTCCAATCCACTTTTTAAACCAGAGATCCCCGCAAAAGGGATAGAAAGACGGGAGGATGAGGTTACCAAACTTATGTTGAATTCTCAAGTCAAATTTTATTAGTGTTTTTCTTACTGTTCTATGATTGCTCCTTGTGCCTATGGCCTCCTTGGTGGGAAGCCTTGAGGAGAAGGGTGAGTGGTACACTTCGGGTATGAACACTCCTCCTTACACTCACAGCAACTAAGAAGGCTTGTCCAGGGGAGAGTTCGGTCCCAATCTGTGTCTATACTGGTCAGAAATGGGACACATGTTCAATTTCTTTATCTTCCACTGAGTCCTGAGGACCTGGGGAAGACATTTTATTTATTTATTTATTTATTTGGTGCTTTAAACAATTTATTTAACTGAAATGGACTTCCATTTATTTAACTGAGGTGACTTCCATCTATTTTGCTACACCTTTTACCCATGGTGGCTTACAGGATCTTCTAGCCAATATAAATATTTATAAATAGGTGGCCCTCTGGGTAGACACCTACACAATACCTCAGCAATATCTCTCTGCAAGAAAAACACTGAAGAGTAAAGACCTGACACAATGAACCGGGTGGGATGGAAATGTTTCTGAGGTAAGGGCACCACACATCTGTTCAGTTGAGGAAACCATCCTTACAAAACAGGATGATCTTTTTTTATTTTTAAGTAGGACCTAGAACACTTAAGCTGCCAATTGGGTGCTGAATGGCAGAGCTCCATCCCCAGCTTATGCCATGAACTCACAGAGAACAGGTTCCAGCAACTCAGGCTCCTTCCCATTGGTTCTCACAAAGGGCGCTTCTCTGGGCGGGGCAGGCTGGCGCCTCAGTTGAACCCAGGTATCTTTCTCTTTGGCTTCCTTCTTTTTCTGATCATTTTCTTTGACACTTTTCAGGAAGCCATCTTGACACTTTGAGTGTTTAATATGTTCAATACATACATTAATCCTCTTGACAAGTATCTTGCCCTTCACTTGCTTGTTTACAACCGTGCCAACAGCATGCTGGGTAACATCATAGCCTCTTCCTGTTTCGCCATGGTAGCATTTGTGTGGCATTCCTTTTTGCACAGTACCCTCCCTTTGATGTCTACAATATCACCTTTTTTGTAGATTTGCATGCATGTGGCTAAGGGACCGACCCCATGTTTTCTATAAGGCCTAGACAACGTGCACTGGGTTCCCCTCCTCTTTCCCTTTGTGTTTGTTATTTTGGCAAATTACTCGAAGATGGCGGTTCTGGCCAAAAGGACAGAAGACATTCAATTTAAACTCAAATTCTTTTTAAAAGAATATGTTTTTAAAATTGACACAGTAATTATACATATTTATAGGGTATACTGTGGCATTTCAATACATGTATACAAGAAATGATTGGATGAGGGTAATTGACCCCAAAGACATACCCTTTCCTTGTGTTGGGAAAATTCAAATTCCTATTAGATATTTTGAGATACTCTATTAACTGTTGTCAAAACACTCTGCAAACTGTAATAGAACATTAAAATTATTCTTCCTAACCAAGTGCACCTCAGTACCCCTTAATCACCCTCTCTTCGTTACCCACACCCTTCTCAGCTTTGGGTAACCCCTCTTTTCAGTACAGTGAAACCTTGCTTTGTGAGCATATTTCACTGCAGAAACACTCTGTAATACAAAGCACTTGTGTAGCAGAGTGAATTTCCCCATAAGAAATAATGGAAACTCAGATGATTCATGCCACAACCCAAAAATATTCATAGAAAATGATTATAATACAATATGAAACAATAAAGAAAATACAAAATATAAAGAAAAACCTGCACTTACTTTTGCAAACCTTTGTGGCTGGTGTGAGGGAGATGAGCGAGGAGGGTTATTACACAGGATGACTTTCATGTAGTACTTGTGTTGCAAGACATCCCTTGTTTATCAAGTTAAAATTTACTAGAAATGTTTGCTCGTCTAGCAGAACATTTGCAGAACAAATTACTCTCAATCCAAGATTTTACAGTACTTCCACATACTTCCATTTTCATTTCCACATATCAGAACATCAGGTAGCTGTCTTTCTGTGCCTGGCATTAAATTCAAATTCTATATTAAGCTTCTAGCTTGTGTAGCACTTCCATGGACACCCGTGTAATGAAACTGTGACTCGGGAGTAGCCATTCTGTCATGGGCTAAGAGTGAAAATTTTCCACGCTCAAACACAACCAGGGGAACTTGTTTCATTACCAAAATGTTCCTTGTGAAGCTGTTGCTAATTCCCATATGTAAGAAATGCTTAAAATAAGTCATTTTTTGTAGACTTAGCAAATTTCACTAATTTCACTATTTTATATTTTCAGAGATGAGGGCAGTGTGGTGGGAAGAAAAATACCGGGTATCAGGAGTCTTTCCTTGGGTATGTGTTGTGGTGTTGTCACTTATTATCTGCAATGTCTTAGGCAAGAATGTACTATCCTCAGCTCTAAAGTGCAGACAGTCTTTAGCTTGCCAACCTCAGAAGTTCGTTGAGAATAAGGTTTGGGTGGCTTGTGACTGTACATGATGAAGCCCCTCTGCAAACTGTAAAAGATTACTTAAAGTTGGGTTTTAATAAGGACTATGAGAGTAACTTCCGCATAACAGCCTTTTAAAACAGACACAAGCCCCAGAAATATTGGAGAGAAATCCTAGTAGTTCTGGAATAGAAGACATTCAGGTAAATTGTTAGAGAGGTTAAACCTCGTGCCTTCACTCTTAAAGTCTGCTGAAATATTTCAGTTTCTCTTTATCTACTCATATTTCCTGGGTATCCCATTTCCTAATCAACTGAAGAACTGTCCGAGATGCTGCGTATGTGAAATTGTGAACGTGGGACCAGTGGCTCTCCTCGAGCACTGGGAGCAGAGACAGTCGATGGTTTCCAATGGCAATGGCTTACAAACTCGCAGCGCATGTTATTACTCCAAACGCGGCTGCCTGTGCACGTAAGTAAAATGAACATACTGTGTCACTCTGAAAGCACTCAGCATATTAGGAAGTGGGTTTTTTTCCTAGAAACCACTTTAAAGAGTCGTACTATTAAAGCTCCTTAAAAAAAAAAGCCCTGGAAAATTTTCTCTAAAATGGTGGAAAAACATGAAAAGTAAAATGAAGGCAGAGTCTTGGGAATGAAAATAAAATTATCAAGTATAGGACAGTTTGTTTTTAGGAAAGTTGTGTGTGAAGATACCAGTCTTTACGTAATGTATTACATACCTTTTACACACGCTTCCCCGCCTAGGTATACACAAAGCCACGTGAGGACCCATGGGGAGTTCGTAGAGAGTGTTGCTCTTCCTGTCTGAACAACAGGCAAGAATCATAAATGTAGATTTTACAATATCCCATTACATTTATTTTTGTAAATCCAAAGAAAACTGCGTGCAGTTGCTGACACCACAGCTGAAATCAGATAGAAGACAGTAGGGCTAAGAACGGAGGTATGGACAGAGGATTAAAGAATTCAAAACATTTTAAGTGCTTACAAATACAGTATCTACAAGTGAGCATGCCGGGGTGGTAGCATTAGATGTGTTTTTACTTTATTTTCTCTTTTTCCCAAATGCTCCTTGAATGGTTCACATTGTTCTTTACGCTTGTAAATTAAGAGAAAGACAGGGCAAAACAGACATATTAACCTCAAAAGAGCAAAAACAAAACTGGCAGCTTAATGAAACCGATAGAAGCTAAAAGCAATGGTATAATCTTTTCAAACTCTGGAAAACAACAAAAACCAAGAGTAATTTAGAACTTGGTATCCAACAAAAATATTTTTGAAAAATCAAGGTGAATACACCCACATACATGTGTCGAATTGATTTTTGTCAAAGAAACAAAAACAACTCTATGGAGAAAATTAGCCTTTTCAAAAAACGGTGCTAGAACAACTGCACAGGCAGAAGGCAAAAAGCCACAGAAAACAAAAACCAAACAAACAGACCCACTGCGAATTCAACCTCATAGCTTATGCAAAAATTAACTCAGAATGATGTTAGTCCTTTTAGATTCCACATAAGAGATCATACAATGCTTATCTATGTCTGGGTTATTTCATTTAATGCCCTTCAAGTTCATCCATGCTGTTGCAGATGGCAAGCTTTTTTCTTTTTAAAAGACTGGATAGTATTTCTTTGTGTAGATGCATCACATTTTCCCTATCCATTCATCTGTTGATGGACAGGTAGGTTGTTTCCATTTCTAGGCTGTTGTCACTAATGTTACAATGAACTTGGAAAAGCAGATGACTCACAGTACACGAATTTCAATTCCTATAAAGGTGATCTCATAGAAGTAGAGTGGTGGCAGTCAGGGCCTGGGACGGATGGTGGTGGGAAGGATAAGTAGAAGAAATGCTGATCATATGATGCAAAATTTCAGTTAGATATGAAAAATAAGTTCAAGAGATCTATTGTACAACATGGCAACCACAGTTAGTACAATATATTCTTGAAAAAAACCAGAGAGCAAATTATATATATATATTCAAAATATACATACAATAAATACATGTTATATCTGAGATTTTAAAAAGAAAGTAAAGATATACTAAAAAACAGCACAAATTGTATTAGCAAAATCTTGGAAATAACCCAAATGCCCATCAACTGAGGAGTGGATAAGAAAAATGTGGTATTTTTATACAATGGGGTATTACTGAGCTATAAAGAAAGAGAAACTCAAGGCTTTTAAAGGTAAATGGATGCAATTAGAGGCCATACTCATAAGTGAAATAAATCAGACTCACATATGTAAGCACCATATTGTCTCCCCAGAGTAAGAACCTGAAAGAGTAAATAAAACTGAAAGGTACAATAAATGTTGTGAAAGAGAAAGAAACTGCTCAATAGGAAAAAACAACTGGGATGAGGGAAAGGAGAAAAGAAAGAAAGAAGGAATAAAAAAAATATATATATATGTATATACACATACCTACACACACAAGATAGCTAAGATAATTGTACTACCAATTTTTGTTGGTTTATTGAAAGGAACAGTTAATGTTTAATTGTTTGATCACTTCTGCATGCCTATATCTGGTCATCTGAGCAACTACTTTGAAGATAACAATAAGGAATACAATAACCGTTGCTGATTACCTATCATTTTGTTTTGAAATTGTGTATCATTTTTATAGTTTTTGTGTTGTTTTGTTTTTGTCTTTGTTTTTATTATTTTGTTTTTGTTTTTTCTCTTTAAAATAAAAAAAGTCTGGAGAAAAAGATATGCTAAACATGTAAAAATAAAAAAGAATAAAAAAGCTGACTCAAAATGGATCATAAGTAAACATAATTGTAAAACTTTTATGAAAGCCCACAGCAGAAAATTTGTGGGATTTGCAAGTGGACAAAGAGTTCTAAGATTTGACACCAAAATCATACTACAAAGGAAAACTTGATAAATTGGACCTCATCAAAATTAAAAACTTGCACTCTGTGAAAGATCCTCTGAATTAGATGAAAAGACAAACTACAGACTGGGAGAAAACACTTCTAAACTACCTAGCTGACAAAGGTCTTATATATAGAATTAAAGTATTCAAAACTCAACAGTGAAAAGGACACACAATTCAATTAAAACAAAAGACGTGAATAGACATTTTAGTCAAGAGGATATACAGATAGCAAGTAAACACATGAGAAAGATGTTCAATATCATTAGCTGAATTCAACTGCTAGGGCTGCTTTAACAAAATACTGCACACTGGGTGTGTTAAACAATAGACATTTATTTTCTCATGGTTCTGGAGGCTGGAAGGCCAAGTTCAAAGTATCAACAGTGTTGGTTTCATTCTGTGGCCAATCTCCTTGACTTGCAGATAGCTGCCTTATTGCATGACTTGCAGATAGCTTCAGGCCTAATTGTAGATAGCTATACTTGCAGATAGCTTCATACTAATTGTAAATTAGTATTACAATTGCTTGCCTCTTTGCATGGACATCCCTCTGTGCACATGTACCCCGGGTATCGCTTTCTCCTCCTATAAGGACACCATTCATATTGAATTAAGACTTTAACCTAATCGCCTCATTTTAACTCAGTCTCTTCTTTAATGATCTTATCTCCAAATATGGTCACATTGTGAGGTATAATGGGTTGCAACTTTAATGTATGAATTTGAGAGGGACAAAATTTGTTCTATGAAATCAACAAGAGCATAAAAAGATGTTAACACAATAAGCATCAGTGAAATGTAATTCAAAAACAGTGAAACATCACTAGATATGTACTATGATGGCTATCATAAAAAGACAGTAACAAGTGTTGGCAAGGATGCAGAGGAAATAGAAACCTCGTACACTGCTGCTGGGAATGTGAAATAAGGCAGCCACTTTGGAGAACAATTTGGCAGTGCCTAAAAATATTAGACACAGCATTATTTTATGACCTAGTAATTCCACTTGTAAACAGAGAAATAATACCCAAAAGGAATGCATAAATATGGGCACTAAAAGACAAATACAAGATTTGGTGATACATGTCTGCTATCCCACCACTCAAAAAGCTGACGTAAGAGGATTACAAGCTAAAGGCCAGCCTGAAGTCCAAAGTGAGTATTTTTATTTTAAAGAGAAAAGAACCAGAACAAAGACAACTACAAAACAACAAAAAAATGATAGAAACGATACAGAATTAAAAAAAAAAGATGATAGGAAATTAGCAATGGTTGTTGTATTACACACTGTTACCTTCAAAGTAGTTGTTCAGATAACCAGATATAGGCATGCAAGATCAAACAATTAAATGTTAACTGTTCCTTTCAATAAACCATTAGAAATTAGTATTACAATTGCCTTAGCTATTGTGTGCGTGCGTGTGTGTATATAACATATTTTTTTCACTTCCTTCTTGTTTTCTTTTCTCCTTTCCCCCATCC